CTAAATTCTTAATTTTTTTTTTTTTTTTTTTTGAAGGAAATGCCAAAATTAAAGTTGATTACCTAAACAATTATTTCCCTACCTAAAAATAAATAATAATAAACACGTGCAGAAAAAAGGATGTATTAATAATGCCATATGTGGCTCTCATCTTGTTCCTCGTTACTGTCGAATCCAATAACTCCGAAATATCTGTAGTAGAATGTGAAAAATTAACTACAAACCTCCGCTAACAACATAGGTCTTACGATCTGAACTTTTCATAAACATTTTTTCTGGTATCGGTAAAGAGAAAATTTTAACCTTTATATGCTATCGACTGCCACTTCGATTTTTAATCTAAGTTAAGATTAAAATCAAGTTTTTAATAAATTATAAAATAAAAATTGATGAAATACATGTTTTATTTACGGAAAAAAACCTCTGTTAAAGATGCCAATTCAAGGGTAATCTTGATTAAACATCTCTTAATCTGAACAAGGCAGAGAATGATTTCACAAAATTGAGTTCTTTCACAGTTCTTCTTCCATTCTACTTCTGGATCTTCCTTGACTTCTAATCTTCACCGTTGAAACTTCACTCTCGATTAATTCTTTTCTAGAATCTTTGTCACTCCTAATACCCTTTTTCTGTTGTCTTTTAGTTCTCATTTTCCTTTTTCACTGCTCATAAACTTTTTCAGCTGGATTTCAGCTAAAGTGTATATCTTGAAAGTCCATATTTTGGATGATTTGAAGGTATAGAGAAATGGCGATAACAAGATTTGGTCCTCAAGTAAAACGCTCATACCAGTCACATGGGTTCCGCTTAAAGTTGACAGCAACTGCAATATTGGGCTTGTGTTTTGTATTTGTGTGGTCTGTTTTTTCAAAATTCTCGGTTACTTCTCAAAGGGAAAGCTTTGATGATATTGCTGAACCAGTATCTGCAGCAAGAGGGAAGGTGAGTGATTTTCGAATTCATTTTGGAAAGGAAGATCCAAAGAAAGGTCAAGAAAGTGATGAATCTCGAGTGGTGAAATCTGAACCTACTTTGGATGATAAAGACAAGAAGAAGATTAATGGGTCCTTGCCAATTAAACCTGAGGAAGGGCAGGACAAGGGGCAAAAAGAAGGGGATAAGGAGGAAAGTCAAGAAAACAAGGGGGAATCGGAGATTGGGGAGGTAATAAGAGAAAAGGGGGAAGAGGAAGAGAATGGTAAGCGTGGTGAAGAGTTGAATGGAGGGGAGAATGCAAATGAGGAGGGAGAACGAGAATTTGATTTAATTAATAGTGAAGACTTGGATCAAGAAGCTGTTGATGATGAAAACGAGGTTTCAAGAAGCAGAAAGAAGAAAAAGGAATTGGGTCCTTTATTTGATCCAAAAACACAATATAACTGGAAATTATGTAACACAAGAAGCAAACATAATTACATTCCTTGCATTGACGTTGAAAGTGCGAGTGGAAGACTGCAGAGTTATCGTCATCATGAGAGGAGCTGCCCTCGATCGCCTGTTATGTGTCTTGTTCCTCTGCCCCATGATGGTTATGGTGATCCAGTGCGCTGGCCTGAAAGTAAACTGAAGGTATATATATTAGTTTACCGTAGCATTGGTTGCTTATAATTATATCTCATTGGTCAATCTATATGGCTTGCAGATATTAAATAAAAATGTGGCACATCCAAAATTAGCTGCATTTGTTAACTCCCAAGATTGGGTTGTGGAGTCCGGGGAATACCTCACTTTTCCTCAGAACCAATCTGTATTCAAGGGTGGAATCCAGTACTATTTAGATTCCATTGAGGAGGTGAGTTGCACATATTGGTTTTCATAGGCTTAGGAACTGATATGTGGTTCTACTATAGAAATATATACATTTTGATTGAAAATAATGAACATCAAACTCTCATTTATGATGTAGCAGTCTGGATGGTGTTCTATCTTTTAATTACCTGGATGAGAGGAGAAAACTAATTCAAACTAAGTTGTTTAACTATCTTTTAACTATTATACGAGGTGTAGTATTGAGTTGTAAATAGCATGTATGAACAAATTTACCCAATCTGCTATACTTGGTGAATAGTTGGATAATTTTGTCCAATGTGATTTGATTGAATTCAGGATTAACTTGTTATTCCGTAACA